AATATAAAAATATCCATATGGATATTACATTTTTGCTTCTTGTATGCAAAGTTCAAATAATCCAATTGATTTTAGTGCTGAATTTAATATGAATATAAGTATAATATAAAATTTCCCAGTATAATAGTTTAATTCTGCCATTTGTTGCTATTTATTATTTTGCAATATTGTTTTTTGTTTGTTGTGTTCTTAATTTCAATTAAAACACCTATACAATTATTATTTTTTTCGTAAAAATAACGCATAATAAGTGCTCAAACAAAAATTAAATTAAATTGTAGAAATATGTTAAATAATAGTTTTAAAATTACAAGAAACCAGAAAATGAAAATTGTATAGGAAACAAAATTTCGGGATTTAAAATCTTAAATATGCAAAGACAACAAAATAAGGCAATATTAGGTAAACAAAATGTAAGAAATGAATTTTCTTAGACTAAGATTTTTATTTCAAGATTTGAGTTTGTATTTTGTTTAATTTTATAAATGAAATGCGGTTGTTGTTCTTTATATATGTAAACTTCAAAAAATTCGAATTGGTAAACTCGTTGGAGACAATTATTTTGCGGTAGCTGTGCATGTATATACTAATATTTTGAATACTAAAATTTCGATAAAATAATATTTTCTATGAACAAGTTCAATTACCTTGCATCATCTATAGAAAATTATTGAATCTTACAGACCAATTTTAATCAAATTAAATTAAATATTTTTATTAAATCTTACAGAAAATTTTCTATTTTCTTTACTAAAATTTTAATGCTTCTTTTAATAGTCTATTAAATCCTATTTTAAATTTTATCAGTTCAAATAGATTAAAATAAACGCAAAATTTCACTGAAGGACTAAAAAGTATCATGTTTTCATATGCCTTTTATAAATTCGAAATTTTTATAATTCGACATTGTATACTTTCATACCCATGCACAACAATTTTTAAAAAGATATTTAATATTCCTTGTGGAATATTAAAATGTTACTTAACAATTGTGTCAATAAGTATCTCACCTTTTTTACACTTTTGCTTTTTTCTTTCTTATTTTTGTATTTGTTCTTGTTTTTTTATTATTTATTTTTCATTTTCTTGTTTATTTTTTACAGCGGGATTTTAGGGCTAAAGTGTAAAACGTTTACCTTTTCATTTATTTTTTTGTTATTTTTTTTTTGTATTTTCTTGAATTTTGTTTGAATAATTTGAAAGTAAAAAAAAATTATTTTGTATTTAATTTATACATACTTATGTCTATATATATGTATGTATATACTTAATTCAATAAGAGATAATGTACGTATATTTGCTTATATTTAATAGCAACATAATATTATAAAGGTGTGTGTTTTAATGTGCGCATTTTTAATTTTTAAGTATATTTTTTAACTGGACTTTAGTGTAAATTCTATAAGTATATACGCCATACTTTAATTTTTTGAATAATTTTTTATATAATTTTTTAAATACTATATGGACATGGAATAGATAAAATTTAAAAAAAAAATTTCCTATTTAATTTCATACAAATATCTATATAATATACTTTATATACTTACATGCTTGGGTACATTATATATAAAAGTGTGTGTATGTAAAGACAAAATAATAATTATAGAAACATTATGGAATTGAAATTTGTTGATTTAAGAAAAATGCAAAAAAAAATACCATAATTAATTATGCTGGTTAAATTTTTTATTATGTACATTTGTCAGTGTTTTAGTTTAAATTTGAAAATGGTGTACGTTTACTTATTATTCTGGTTTTTCGTATTAGATTAAAGCACTGTTAAAAATATTATTCGGCGCGATTTATTTTTATTATTTTTAATAAATTTACTGTTATTTTAGAATATCTTAGATTTTGTTACATAGATTAGTAATTTTTATATTATACGCAAACTAAATTGTAAGCAGTTTTATAAAGGATTTCAAAACAATAAATAATCAATAAAATAAAAAAAAAAAAACAGATAAAAATTAAAATAAATGTAATATAATATTTAGAGTTTGCTTTCTAAAGACTTAAAATAGTAATTTAAGTATTACTAAAAATTATTTATGATTTTTATTAGAAAATTAAATTTTTTAAAACTTGTAAGAAATATAGAGGCAATAATTTAAAGGCTAAAATTATATAAGGAAATTTATTAACTCTAATAAATGCTATGAATATCAGTTACATGTTTTAATTAATGTCGAAATCAAAATTTTAAGGTGTTGTATTTAGGTTCCATTGATATACATATTTTGTCGAACATGTAATGAATGTCTATTATTGAAAAGATTTTATAAATTTCAGAAAAGATTAAATCTATGTATAAATTATGTTATGCGGACCAATGAAATACCCAATAAATAGCAAACAACTAGATCATTAATAACATTCAACGACCCAACAACCTGATTTGTATAATTATGAATTTAGTTAATCCAATATAAATTTTTTCAAAATAAATTTGAATTTAACACGTTCTAAACCAGCCTTAAGTTACTACATATCTTTATCTCAAACTATGTTTTAACTCACGTTTTAAATAATTATTTTCAAACGGTAAAGAATTTGTTTGAAATGGCGTAATAAATCATCAGAATTATTACAGAAATGAGCTTAAGCTAAAAGAAATCAATAATTTTAAAATATTATGATAATATTGCATACTTTCAGGGGCAATTATTTTTTTATTGATGTATAGCTATATTTTTAGCAATTGTGTTTTGTAATATTAAGTATTTTAAATGCAAATCAGGTAATCAATGTTAATTAATTTTGTTTACTATAAAATCGATAAATAAATAAAAAAAATTATAAACTATAAGCAAAAATATAAGAGATTAAAATTTAATTCTCTTAAAATTAAGCTGTTCATCGGTTAATGTAAAACCTCATATTTTTTACTAATTTTTTGGATAACATTCTTAAAAAATGTAGATATATGTCAAATATGTCAAATCGAAAATTTTTATTAACAATTTTATCATTTAATTGAATCAAAATATAAATTTTTGTTTACTAATAAAAATTTCAGAAAAACAACAAAACATTTTTAGCTCAAGAAACTATGAAATTTGGCTCATACATGCGTAATAACTACGTATAAAAAATGTAAACAAAATTCAAAATGAAAAATTAATTTTTTTTTTAAATTTCTCTTATCAAAAAAATCCATAACTGAAATTCTACTATCATTATCTATATTATCTAACTGCATTAAAATATTATTTCGTCAAATCTTATTAGAATTAGGTAGATACGAGTATATGAAGTAAAAATGAAATGTTTTTAAGAAACCAAAATATTTACTTTGTGCTTACATACATACTTACTCAAAATATTTTGTAAATCAACATAATATACATGATACTATGTTATAAACACATAAATATATAAGCATATATCCATACATGTAGCGTGTGTTTAGAGGTGAAAATCTTAGGTCTAATGTCATATACAACTGATAATAATAATTTTTTTCTGGTATATTCTTCATGTGCTTGTGTAATCATACTCATATATACACTTTAGTCTCATAATAATGTATTTATATTACGCTTATTAGATATTATTAGATATTTAGAAATAAAATAGTAAATTCTTAAGTATTAAGCTCAGTTTATTGCTCTCTTTGTAATAAAAAAATATTTACTAAATTCTGTTTACTATTTACTCAACTTATAGAATAAAATAATAAATTTTTGATTCCTACATTAAATTTGTTTGGTTATATATGTATATTTGTCGCCCTATATAAATATGTCATGATATCTAAATTATTATTATGTTATCCTAACATGTTCTTATAATAATATTCACATAAATTATGTACATATACGTGTGTACATATGTATTTATACAGAAAATAATGAAATTTTTAATTTTTTAATTATTCATATTAAATATCGTAAAAATAGTAAAATACTGTCAGTTAAGTAGTAAATCAACAATTAAAATAGGTCTGGTATATTAATATATTGCTGCAATGTTTACATAGTATTGCATTTTGGATATGTATGTATGTGTGAGTGAGATTAATTTAAAAATACATTAAAATTCATTACAATCTAAGAATATTTCTGTAATTTAATAATATAAATAATTTTTTGAGAAATATTTTATAAAATTAGGATTAAATTTTTAATTTAGAAATCAAGTTTCATGTTATGCGAATAACAAAATCAAAATTTATTACACACTTTATTACGTAAATGTGATAATATTGGCAAGACTTTTTACTAAAGCCACTTTTATAATAATTAAAAATGAAAATATTAAATTTAATGACTATGAAGTATATGTATAAATAATATAAATAATTAATTACAGCATATTAATCTTTGCAAAAAAAAAACACACACAAAATCAAATTAGATTTATTTAGAGGATATGAAGTAAGACTAAAAGAGTAAATATTAAATATTTCTGAATTAATTAAAATTGAATCACAATAATTATAGATTTAAAAAGCAAATATTTAATATTGCTTGCGATTATGAATTTTTATATGATGACATAATCTTTTATAAGCGCATAGTTTTAAAAATTATTTTTATTTATATTTTCAGAATTCTTATAGAGTATTAGAGTGCATTTTTTGTAAACAAAAAAGGATATAACTAGCATAGGAATAGATTATTAGAAAGAGCAAATCTCTATGCAAAAGCATATAGCTTTACAATAAAATTAATAAGGTGACTGTTCTACCAGATGGAATGGAAAGGATTCGATAGCATTCCAAATTCTTTTACAACAATCATTTCTTAGTGTTTCAAGCTTTAATATTTGTATACCAAAGTTTTATATTTTTTTGTCATTAAACTACTTGAAGGAGAAAGAAATTTCAGATTTTACATCTGGCATTTCGTTCGTTATTCCTTATACAAACATAATTTTTCACTTCAAGAACTCGTTTTTGAGTTATGCAAATAAATTATTTGCAATTATATAATTAAATAAAGTCTAATTAATTAAATTTGAAAAATTTTTATAAATAATTTAAATTCACTTACTTTTCTTTCCTTTTACATAATCCGTATTATTACGATTATCCTCTAAACTATTAATATTATTATGATAATTATTATGAAAATTTATATTTAAATTATTATTATAATTATTATTATTATTGTTATTATTAAAATTATTATTATAATTATTAAAATTAAAATTATTATTGTTATTATTATTATTACTATTACTATTTAAAAATTGTGTATTACTATTATATACATTTGAATTTATTTGATTACTATTTTGTGACTGTTGTTGTTGTTGTTGCAATTGCTGTTGTAATTGCTGTTGTTGTTGTCGTATTCGTTTACGTGTTTCTCTATCAAAATTACCACTACCGCCGCTACCGCCACCATTTCTTGTATGACGTTCACGTGCCTTACAATGGGATATTGTAATCCCATTTATTAATAGTATACTAACTAATAATAATCCTTTCATTATAACTTTATATAAATATTATACATAATCAAATGAAAATTTTATAAAATTTTTTTATTTTTTCGTATTTATTTTATATTCCTTTTTTTTTGTATATATGCTATGATATTGATTTTAATATTGTTTTATTATTTAAAAATATATAATAAAAATAATAATGAATATACATAATAATAATTTATATTATTATATATAAATTATTTTAAATTTATTAAATATTATAAGGATGTTGTATATTTAAAATATTAATAGGTTATACGAATATAATAATTGAATTTATATAAAACAAGTATAATAGATAGTATAACAGAAGTATAAAAATTTTGCACAATAATTTTTAATTGTTTTTATTCATATTTCAATTATTTTCTTTTCTTGTATATTTTTGATTTTGAATAATGCACTCCAGTTGTGTATGTTGAATAGTATAAGTATAACATGCTTGAAATATCATATTTTTATATGTAAAATGATATAAGCATAATATTTTATTAAAGATAGGATTTTATTTCTTCTATTTTATCTCGTTTTGTTTTAAATCTTCATGTATATATGTATGTAACTGGTATATAATATTTAACATAACAAAAAATATAATTATATATATATACTGTGATTAATAACTAAACTCAAACTTTTGTCATTATTATGATACTATGATTTTCTTTAAAATAAAAGAAAACCAGTTTAGAAAGTCGTAAGTATATTAAAATGTATACTCGGTTTTTTTTTTTTGTTTATTTTGAAATTATTTTAATAGAAAAAATCTGAATTTTTCTCTTTTTATATGTTATTCGTGATTTTTCCTTATATTTGCCTTTTCTTATTTTTTTTTTCTATTAAATTTAATACAATTTAATATTTTCTTTTCATTTTCATATTTTTATCATTTTGCTTTTGTATTCGAAAAAAAAGCAACTTTCATACAATTTCCTGGACGAAAACAAAAAAAAAATATTGCAGCATTTTAACTATTTACTTTTATTTATTTCATATATTTTTTTTAAAACACAATTATTTTATGTATATATGTATGTAATAATTATTATAGTATAATTCCATTTGTATGTGAATATTATTATATTATATGAAACAATATAAAATTTTTTTATTGTGAATTATTATTATTTTTAATTTTTTTTTCTGATTTTTTTTTTATATAACAAAATAATATAAGTAATAAACAAATTTAATTTTATACATCCGTATTTATTTGTTTGGAAATTTTTATACACAATATTTAAAATAAAATTTTAATATTGCTCACTTATTAATTTCAAATTCATAATAATGGCAAAATTTAAACTTCTCTCTTTCTCTTTTTTTTTAAATTGAACTTCATGTTATATAATTGATTTCTAAATTGTAATAAATTACAATGTAATTAATTATTTTCTATTAATATATAATATTTTTATTAATTTAGATCATTTACGCGCTTATAAATTAAAAAAAAAATCCTAATTTTTTTTAATTCGCATACAATTACTGTTTTCTTATTGTGGGTACTTAATTTTCATCTTAAATTAAGTTTATTTCAAAATGATAATTATAATTTTCAAAATAATTTTATTTAGCACATTAATTCAATAATAAATGTAATAAATCAAATATTAAATTGAATACCAAAAACACAAAATTCCAAAAAAACAAAAAAAAAAAATTAACGTCGCGAAAATAATGTATACGAGCGCCTGCGCAACACTATTAACAAACTCAAACTAAACTCTCTGTAAAAAAATTTAGATGGATTCCAAAACATACCAAATAGTTTTGAACAAAAAAACGTTAGATGTGATTTCTTGCTTTTTTTTCTTGCTGTTAAATTTCTCTCTCTTTTTCTTTACTATAAACATTAAGTAAAAAAAAAAAAAGTACCATAAAAACCTCAACTAAAGATCGTATTTCACATTTTTTATTATTATTGTTTTTTTTAACATTGTTCAACATAGGTTTTATGAAATAATATTGGTGAATGTTTACATATTATTTAAGCCCTCTATTTTGTATATGTGTGTGTATATAAAAATTTATTAATGTAGTGGTATTAATTTTTTTTGAATACGAATAAATTTTCAAAATAAGCAATTACTCGTATATGATTTTATAAGAAATTTAGTTATACAGAGTATATTTTCAAATAATTTGAAAATAATCTATAAAATTTATTAATAATAATGACAAATAATATGTAATGCTAATATGTAGTTAGTATGCTAGTGGTAGTTGTAGAAATGTGTAATAGTACAGTTTGTTTATATAAGCATAAAACCATAGAACGTAACGATAAAAAGTATTTTAGTTGGCTGGAATAACTAAAATAGTTTTCACAAAAAAATTATGTTTTGTCTCATTTAATTACATAAATTTTGCATTGTACAAAATCTTAGTAAAGACTCAAATCAGGGCTTTTTGTTATACTAATAAAACTACATTATGCCAATTATTATAATTATTTTGAGCTCAAAATTTTACATAAATAATTTTAATTTCTCAAATTCTTTAATAAATAAAATTATTATTCAAACGCATTTAAAGGGTTTTAAGTAATTTTGATTTTTAAATTAAATTCGCCCAAAATTATGCTATTTTTTAAATTGCATAAGTTTGTTTTCTTCTCTTTCGTTAAAATTGAAGGTTCCCAATGTATTAACTTCAATTGGATATTTCCAAAAAATCAAAATATAAATCAAGTCAACTAAATGTTTGAATAACAAGCTGGTATGACTCTTTAAATTCCAATAGAGTTAATTCCAATTTCAAAATAACCAACATCATCACACTAAATGATGCCATAATATTAAACAACTGGGGATTTTAATCTTATATGCTTAATGATATTTCAATTACTGTAAGCTATAGTTAAATGAGTTGTAGTAAACTTTAAACGAATTGGACTAAACTCGCGCGACTAAGCTTTTTAAAATCATAGATACTAGAAATTCAACATCCAATGTAGAAATGTACGACTGTATAAAAGGTGAGTGTTATAAATGAAAAAACAAATTTGCTTTAATCCTAGAAGTGCATATAAAGAAAATGATGATAGTTATTTCTTAAGAAAAATCAACTGGCAAACAGGTTTTTCTTATGTTTTCTCTCTTTTTCATTCTTTAACATAGCTATAGTTAAAAAATGTTTCGCAATAAGCTTGTATTGAATATAATCTTTATAGAATCAAGTTTTATAAATAACACCAAAAGAAAAATCCGTATAAGAATAACCATAATTTTAAATCTTGTTACAAATTTTTTGATAAATGTATGTGTATATGACATTTTAACGTGAATATATGTACAATGTATTTAAAACAGGTAATAATAATGTTTGAATACATGGATGATAAATGCGATAATAATAATATTATTTTCAATATATTTTACATGTGTTAGTGAAATTGTATGCGTATTGTAATAATAATGAATACAGGTGCGATAAAACAATACACTTTTTTTGTTATAACATAAAATATGTATGTATGTATTGAGTATTTTGAAAAGGTGTATTTAATAAAAGTTAAATATATGTACCTTAAAACTATATGTATACTTATACAGATTCATGTGCGTAAGTATGTATGCTTTTGTTTGAGGAAAAAAATAAAAGTTACCTATGGTTTAAGGTAAAGAAAAGGTATACTTAAAATTTAAGAAAAGATCTTTTATGGTGCAACAAAATGTTCGCATTACATATTTATGTATGTATATGAATGCATATATTGTGCATATATAATAAAAGAGAAAAAATAAAATAAGTGATAAAAACAATAATGTAGGTAGAGTATAAATTTCTTTATTATTATCTTATACATATTTACGAACTGGTATACATAATATGTATGTATATATACGATTATTGTTATTATAGCAAAGTTTTATCTTAGTTGGATGTATATTGTGTAATATACATACTTACGTACTCAAATGCGTTTGTAAATTTTATTTATTACTTTAAAGAATTTCTAATAATAAAGCCATGGCAAATTCCATGACAATATGATACTGTTTTACTATAATATTTCAAATAAAATTTTAAAATTTAAAACTTCATATTTTAAATATCTTTAATTCGTGTCCACTTAATTAAATTAATTTATTCTTACTCCTATATTCGCCTAGAATTATGTTATTTTGCGAACTAGTCTAGTTGTGTACATACCTATATTGTTTTCTCTTACGTTAGCTACTATTATCAGTCAAAAATATATAAAATGGTAGTAAGTATTTTATAAATGAAGTGTACTTTCGGTAACATATTGAGTTTTGTCAAATATAGTAAAAAACCGTAATACATAACATGTAATATTGAAACAATTCAGCTGATTGCTTCAAAATCACCTCATGCACTGTATGTGAAATTGCAAAATTTCAGTTACTCCAGTTTTGTAGATTGTTGAAGAGAGATATAAGCAAATAAATTCCTTCCCTCCAACCACCGTATTCAACCATGACTTATTGTAGCCCTCCTATATTCAACTTAAATTATCTCGGTTCCAAGTAAATACCCAGAATTATCATTCAGGGAGTTGGACATGAGCTCCCCAACATTAAGAAAACCCCACCCAAATCATCTGCACTTCTTCACAGCCAGGGAAGAACACCCACACAGAATATGTATGACCGTCTCTTTGTCGTCCTGGAAAAATCTATACAAAAGGAGGCCAGTTTTGTGAGTGTGATATTTCACCGGACAATATCCAGTGAGAAATAATCACTTTGACTATAATATTCTACTTAAAACTTAACCATCAAAATAAATGTCGATTTGACCACGTTTGTACAGATCAAAATCTTAAGGTATTTTCAATTTTATTCCAAACAAAAAATGAAACCCACGATTTTTCAATACAATCACATTATAATATGCACCTATCCATATGCCTTTTATTTAACACAAATACATACGTAATATAAAATGTTTACAATACTTGTATAATTTTTATACTCCCATTTGACTCTAAAACGTTTCTTATGAGATGAAAATATGTTAAAATAAAATTATTAGGTATAAAATAATTGTTAAAAAGAAAAATAATGAAAAATATCTGTAACAATACTGTATATGAAAAAGTAATAAGGAGAACAA